CAGAAGCAACATTTTTGCACTGTTAAAGAGATAGCGTATTTCTATGATTCTCTGGAGAGAGGGAGAGAAATGTTCAATTCCTATTGAGCATATGCAAAACAATTAAAAAGAAATGTTATATTACTCTTGACAGAGTAAAAATCATCTAAAGATGAAGACTTGAGAAACAAACGTTGGAAATAAAATGTTTAATTTTCAAAGAGTGAATATGTGAAGAGAGTGAGAGAGAGAGAGGGAGTTAATACGTAAGATATATGACAAATCCTATAAGAAAAATCTAAAAAACGAAAGACTTAAGAAACAAACTTTGGAAGTAACTTGAATTTTCAAAGAGCAAAGATGTAAGACAATTTTGCTGTAACATGGATGTTTAGTTTTTCAGTGAGTAGAATGTATCGCTTAACCTTGTGATATCACTTCCAAGTTCTGCTAAGATTTTTTTCTTCTTTACTGAATATTTATTAGTTAAAAAATAAAAACCCTAGACACGACCGCTACAAAATTCTTTTTATTTTTCAAACTATTTTTATTAAGAAAAGAAAGAACCACCTATGAGAGGTGCCATAATATACAACTCCTCATTCAATAGACAACATTTCCAAGATTTTATCTATAATATTTTAATATTTTTAATGACAAAAAAACGCAAATATTTTTTTTTTCAGACGGATATGAAATTTATCTCAATCTGTATTGTTATCCGTTAAATAGCCCCATTTCCTTTTCCCACTGCGCTGTTTCACACTAAACTCCACAATTTATTATGCCAAGAGATGGCATGCCAAACAGAAACACACACACACGGTTCTAGTAAATTTTGTCTTAATGAACTACAAATGTCAATTTTTGTTAATTATAAAAATATGGTTCTTCTACTACTGGGGGGACTTATCTTAAACTTGTTTGGTAAAATAAAGTTGGCACTCTACCATTGATTATTGGAGGTTATATTTAAATTTCCGGTTTTCTACTAGTATTGTAATGAAAATTCATTGAAAATTTTTAACAGCAAGAAAGAAAGCAAGGCTAATTACAGCAAAAAATGGTTTACAAAGATAATCGGAAAATAAAACAAAATTGAGTAGCATTTGTAGGAAAGAAAAAAACAAAAAAAAAAAAACGAAATGTAGATTAAATACAAAATTTGTTGCCAATTGCCTGGAGGCCATGAATTCTGGGAGAAAAAAAATTACTCCTAATGCTGACTTATCTATTTTACCATTCAATTGCTTTCTCCTGTTAGTTTCCTTTTTGATTGCTTTTTTTCTAATTACTTGAAAATCCTATTGGATCTAGCAAATAAAAGTAAAGTCATGGCACCATGCTTTAGTTAATTTTATTTCACTTTGCAGATGAAAACCAAAGATCATCAGGCCATTTAATGGCCAATAAAACAATAATCATTTGTTGTTGTTGTTGTCTACAAAATGCCTTTGCATTTTAATTTTGGGTGTGGTTTAGTTAAATGCTTTAGAAAATAACATGATGGCCAAGACACTTGAAGAAGCCAAAAGCGGGCAGCTAAACAATAATCAACAGCAGTAGCCAATGTTATACTTTCTAAACACACCAGAATAATGAATCAAGCCATGGACATGGAAAAGAAGCATTTCTTTAAAAAACCTCAACAAAAAACAAAGAAATCCAAGTTGTGAATGATAATGTAAACGTATAACAGAAATAAAGCAGCTACTGTTGGGGCTCTCTCTCTCTCTCTCCAGCAAACCAATTGTTAGTGCCTTATATTATTTTATTGGTTTCTTGTCGTGGCTTGAGGCCATTGCAGTTGGCCGGCCATCTCGACCGATATTGAAGGCTATGCGCTAATTTGAATTCAATGGAATTTTATGAAATTACAACAACAATGGCGATGGCTACATACCAACTATAATAAACACTATTATAAGAAACACAAATTTAATTGATAGCATCATCGGTGATGCCGGGCCATATGATTATTGGTTGGTTAAATTACATATGCACGAACATTACACACATACACACAAACAAAAAACCAATCAAAAAAGGAAATAAGGCAATAACAAAAACAATAACAGCAACATAAAAATGCCATTGATTTCATTTTTTTTTTGAAATTTTGCTGCAGCCATAACCCAAACTTAATATTAACATAACTGAAAATTTGTAAAAGTTAAATTTCATGTTAAAATAAATGGGGCGAGATTGCACGTTGACAACAACAAGAGCAAAAACTACAATAAGGTAAAAGAAGAAGAGCCGAAATACATTTTTTTTGCTGATGAGGACAATGATACATATTTTGGCCTTTTGTGTGTGAGATTTCTGCCACTATCAGTTTACATTTAAGGAGGATGCCTACCTTTTTTGGGAAAAGCCCTCAGGCCTTTAGACCGTAAATGTTGGCCATAATGTTACTGTTAATGTTTAAGGCCAAAGGTGCCTTGTTGTCAGGCCAACATAAGGTTCACATAACAAGTGCAATACACAGCCCCAGCCAGGGCTTGATGTAACCTTTCAAAGGAATCCTTATATTTGTGGAACTGGTAAGAAACACGACAAAAAACAACAAGGGAGATTTTAACACTTCATCTTTAAGGTTGTGGCAATTTTGTAGGTTACTTCTTGATTTCACACAAAACGAGGCAAAGTCAAGCGGCAGCAACAACAACAACAATATCATCATAAATGTAAAAATCTTGTATTACTTTAGTTTGCGTAATACCTACAATCAAAAGGGGAAGGGTCCCCTTCATTCAATAACATTCAACGATGAAATGAAGTTGGCTGGTAGGCTGCTGGCTGGCTGGCGGCCTGGTGGATTTCTTGTATCGATTACACATCTATAAAGGTCTAGATGCGTGTTTTTTCCACAATGTTGTTGTATATTATTACGCAGTAAACAGCATGCGTTATAGAAGTGTGTTCATGATGTGATGAAGCAACACACACACACTCAGACAATGGCTTTGAAAAAAAAAAACTGAAAATGTTGTAAACAACAAAGACGTAGGGTCTCCCTTAACAAACCGACAATCAAGTCTCATGCATGGCACGCTATAATGAATTGCATTGCCACCACACAATGATCTTTGAGAAAAAAAAAAAAAAAACACTGGGGGACCTACACAAGCCCTGGGTAATCAGAAGCAAAAAAAAAAAAAAAAACTATGGCTAAACTCAGCCACACATTTGTCTACTCCATAGTAGGCTAGCAACAACAAAAAACCAATGAAGCATTAAGATTTCAATAAACTCGCACACACACACACCGACACATCGACGGCGACAACAATACAAAACCTATATATCAATCTAACCAAATGATATTCTCAATGACGCATAACAAAAAACAAGTGGGTTACGGGTTACCTTTAAGAAAAATCTACCTTTATCGTTATAATTTTTTTTTTTGTTATTTCCAACCAACAGTTGGAGGGGGATTTTTTTTCAGTGTTAATTCAATGAAAGAGAAATAAAATTGCACACATATATGTTAATTTAATACATTTTAGGGTAAAAATTCTCAAGAAACTGTATCAAACCACAGCAGAGACAGCGGAGAAAAAAAATCCAAAGCGATAATGTGGTTATTATTAATACAATTTAGCAGTGCGGGACTTAAGACACGTACGATACTTTTTAATATTTTTCTTAAGAAAATGGGATTTTTTTTGTGGTGGTAGTGACAGGTATTTTTGAATTAAATGAAGGAAAAAAAAATATATTGGCACATAATTGCAGTGAGTTTACTGAAAAATCAAAAGACTTAAAACAGCAACTTTATAACAAATTTAAAAAATATTTTAAATAAAAAGTAATTTTTAAATAAAAAAAACAATAAAATAAATTTCTTATTGGAAAATAATTGAAGCTGGTTTATTAATAAATAAAAAGACTTAAGACAGCAACTTGATAACAATTTTAAAAATGTAATTTTAAATAAAAACGAATATACTGTCCCAATTTATCAGTTCCTATTAAAAATTATTTTTTAAATTCTTCTTCAAGTTCGTGTCTTAAGTCTTAAGATTTTTCAATGTTTTTATGAAAATTATTTCACTTATCTTTTTACATTAATATAGTATATACAAGTATAAACATATTTTGGAAATTTTTAAATGTTTAAAAAAAATTGAAAATCTAAGAAAAAATATAAAACAGGAACTTGAAATAAATGTTTAAATAAATATTTTTTTTAATAAATACTAACAATGTGCACTAATTAAAAAAATACATTTTATTTTGATTTCAGGTTGCGTGTTTTGATTTTCCAATATATGTGCTCAAAATGTAGTGATCATTTAATTAAATGTCGAAATTTCGAATTTGTGTGTAAATATGTATATTATATCACAATCATATTCTAAGATAAGGCAAAATCTTTAAGTGAACATTTGAAATGTTTAAACATATAAAAAGGAATATTTTTCATATGTACTAACATTTATTCCAAACAGGCAAAATTATACCAAAAATTTTTGACAAAAAATAAATCAAATAATTTTCCAAAACTTTAACTTTGCAAATTATTCACCTCATTGCCAAATTATATGAAAAACCTCCTTAAGAAAAATTCTTTCAAAAATCGTTTTCTTTTAAAATCATATACATTACATCTTCAATTTAAAATTTTTAATTTTTACAACAATCAGAAAAAAATCAATTCCTTAAAACCCTTTCGTGGTTATCAACTTAATTTTGACAGCTTCAAAAAAAAAAAAGTAAAGTAAACAAAAAAAAAACTGTCTTCCTTTTATGCTAAGCCGACTTGAAATTGCCTGTCCAAAATGGCAGATTTTGTTGAAGGGCTTTAAAATTGATGCCATGCATGTTGTCATTTTGAAATGGACGCCTACTTTGGTGGGGCCCTTCGCCCCAGAAAAACAAAAAAACAGACAGACAACGAAAACACAACATGACACTTGACATCAAGGAAATGAAAGCATACAACACAAGTAACACAAAATTTAATGAAACGGAGAAGAAGAAAAAAAAATAAAAACGGCAATGGCACTTACCTTATCGCAGAAAACTTTAATTTGACAATAGCCTCGATGGAAGACTTGTGTGTCACGGGGATCTTCAAAGGTATCAATTTGTATGTGTAGTGGTAGACCCTGAAACATGAGAAAAATAAAATAAAAAAAAAATTAATCAAAAATTGTAAGAAGAAAAAAAATAAATACATTTATAAAATAAAAAAGTAAGAGGAATTATGCACTTTATTTTTTTGTTTGTTTAATGTTTATCTTGAGTAAAAAATCAGTTTTTATTTATTTTAGCGGTAACCCATAATCATAGCTGCTGAGCACATAAATTAAGCTAAAGTTTTATAAGTAGCCACTTCCGTTGCCTTAAGCTGTGTCTGTATTAAAAACCAATCATAAATGTCGCCATTTATTGACTCGACATTTGGCATTTGTTTGAAAACTGTGCAAATTGATAAAAACTGACAGAAATCAATACAAAAAAAAAAAAAAAAAAAAAACAAAAATAAAAAAATTATAATTGAAATTAGAACAAGCAATTAAAATTGTATCAAAAAACACTGGCATATTAAATATTTGGCAATCAATAAGCACTTTGGCATAATCAAACAAATAAGTGGGGTAATGGAAATTAAAACAGTAAAGTGACATTTATAAAAATTATATAAAAGAAATATGTTGACAAAGAGAGCATTATTCTTGATATCAATTTTTAATGGGAGAATCGATGCTAGTGCTTTTTTATTCAAAAGACTTAAGACACGAACAGTAATAGCATAACAGAGAGTGTGTGTGAGAGAGAGAGAGAGAGAGAGAGGAGACAATTAGTACAGCTTTTTTCTGGAACTAAAATGAAATCCGTATTGTATAGCAAATAACATACAGATGCCTTAAGAGAGAGCGAGTGAGAGTAATATTTTGGAGTATATGTTTGTTTTACCAGAGTATTTATAAATCAGCGGTGCTCAAGAAGAAATATCTCTTTTCAGTCAAATTTCTCTTTGCTTATTTAAATCAAGAACAAAACAGTGTTAAGTTTATAAAAATATATTTTATCCATTTGCTTTATAAATTACTTTGGCAAACATTAGTGTTTAAAAACAATTAAATAGAACAGTAAAATATAAAGAAAAACAGAACTTCAATTTTCTCTTAAATTATCTCTTTTTTCTCTTCATGTTCTACAACACGGTTTTGAGCACCGCTGTTATAAATAACGTAATAAATAAACACGCATATAAACACATACAGTGCTAAATTAGCAAAGAGAAAAAGATAGAGAGAATCTGAGAGTCCCCATGCCCAATTAGGTTTCTCTAAATCTCAGTTTTTTCCCAGAGAGAGAAGTTACTATGAAGAGATTGATGGATTAATGTACGAAGTAATTCCATTACTTAGTGAAACAAAAGACTTAAGACACAAACATTCCTAGTATTACCACGGAGAAGGGAAGAGCGAAATCTATGCCAAAATTAAGGGTTTCTAGGGCAGAGCTGAGCAAAATCATATTAAAAAGAGATTGTTGAAGAGAAAATTCAAATTTTCTTTTTTAATACATTACCCAATTTATTTTAACCTTCCTAAACACGAATGTTGCCTAAAATTGTTATAAAAGCTTATTTTTAAAAAAATTAAATGAATAATACATTGAGATTGGATGGTTGGAAATAGAAATTTGTCGCTTGCGCTAAAACATCTTCTTGCTCAGCATTGTTAAAAATCAACAAAAGCGATATTTTGGATAAAGACTGTGTTAGTCAACATCTTTTCGAATAATTATGTATAAAAGGGGAATCAAAAGACTTAGGAAGCGAACGCTCAAATATGAATTGCCATTAGGAGTGGCAAAGCCAAACTTCAAAATTGGGAACCAATCGCCTGCAAGGGCAATACTTGATGAATGCTCGCTTTAGACATATAGAACAGCAGATTTTTAAAGTTTTTTTTTTATTAAAATACTAAAGTTGTATAAAGTAAGCACACAAACTGAAAAAGAACCTCAAATTTTCAATTATAAATTCTGAACAGTTTGTGCAATAATATAACGATTAACCTTTGTTAGTGATATTGAGTGGGTTACGTATCTATATTTGAAATCTAATCAAAATTAGATCTCCATCTCAATTTTCTTTTTTTTTTGTTTGAGTTTTTATTTTATCATCGATTGGGACCACCTTCTGTTTCTTAATTCGTTTGTTTTTCTCTGCGTTTTTTTCAATTTGTCACTTCTCGTCTGGCCCACTTAAGGCCAGCATTTATTGCAGGTATTGCATGGATTATTAACGCCTTCATGGCAAACAATATACATTAAATTGCCAACATAAATCATTAGGCAAAGAAAAACTCATGTCGTTGTTTAATTTATGAAAAAATCGGACAGAAGAGGGAGAGAGAGAGGGAAAATAAGAAAAAAAAAAAAAAAACATAATAATAACTGTCCAGGCAATTTCGTGGTGGTGGCATGGCTCTAAGCGTTTGTGGTGTTTATTTGGCTTGCAGGCTCTTTTGGGTCTTGTCATAAAATCAAGCACATGAAATAAAAAAGGCGTTGTTGTAACCTGATCGAAGAAGTGTTAAACTACATGATATTTGGCGCGCTAAGCTTTCTATTATATTTCTCTGGCTGGGGCAATATCTCACGCATTTTTTTATTTTATTTTTTTTTTTTTGGTTGAAGATCTAAGCCAAGATGTTTTTTTGCGTTGGTTTCTTTTTCAAAGCCTTTGACCAAAGCTTAACCTAAAAGGAAAATGTTGTGCTGGACGGTGTGTGTGTGTGCCTGCATTTAGTTTTAAAGGAAACAACAACGGCTTAAACATGTTTTGCTATTATTTGCTGCCGCATCTGTCAATAAAATATCGATTTAACATTTGCCTTAACATCATGTCGCACATGAAAAGCATAAAATGTGTTGTTTGTTTGTAAAGCAACGTTTAACAGCATACAAGCATGCAGCCAGGCCCGGACCCGGCCCCGGCCCCGGCCCGGCTCAGACCAAGACATCCAAGCAACAATCACTTTGGGGTGTTTGTTGTTCATTCACTCCTTTTTGCCACAATATTTTCACGCATCGTAAATGTTAAGAAATGGACAAAAGCGACACTCGGCAACAACAAAATTAAATCAACTTGGTTTTTTTTTTTTTGCTGTTTGTTATTGCTGCCATAACAAACACGACATTAAGAAATGAAGGAACAAAATAAAAAAAAATAAACGAGTCTACTCTTGAAAATTTTAATAAATTTCCAATACATTTTATTTCTTAACAGCCAAACAACAACATAAAAACCAAAAACAAATGCAATCTGTCATGTATATATGACGCATGACGTTACAAATGAACAGACAGACGAACTGGCGGTCGGACAGACATTATGCGGACATAAAATCAATTGGACGGACATCAGGGGTGGGATATATATAATGGTGTGTCCACCATTGAATGTTGTTATTTTGCATGTCTTTGTTACATTTTAGCCACGACAATATAATCATGTCTCCAGCAACACCATGCATGAGGCTCAACAACGACAAAAGATGAAATAAATTGAGAATTAAAGTGAAAAAAAAACTTTGGAAAAAAATTATTATTAATGACTTATCAAGTGGGCGCTTTGCATGTTGCAATACAAAATATAGACGGACGGACAGACACATACATACATGCCGATCAAAAGATAGCAAGATGAACGCATAAAAAATCGCCAGCAAGCACCTTGTTATAATATGGCTGAATGAATGAATGGGGAAGATCGAAAAAAAGCGAATAACCATTTTTTAGCAGGTGACAAAATTCAGAGCAGTCCAGCCATGGTTGGGCAAAGTGAAATTCATAATAAAAACAAAAACAACAACAAGAGAAGAAAAAAAAATAAATTAAACTCCATAACTATGGATGATGCTTCGTTGCCTGATTTAAGTTAGTATTGCTTTGGTATTCATATTTCTTATTCGCTTCGCCTGAATTTGATATCTCACACATTGCTCGATTGGGTGGAGGCAAAAAAAAAAGTTGATTTTATTATTATTATTGTTATTGGGAATATTTGTGTGTGCTTTAGTTTTGTGCTGCATGCAACATTTGTTAGTTGTTTATGTTGCAGCAAAATGTATTTTTTAATTAAGATAACAACCATTCATGGTGTTTGTTGTCATATTGCTCGGGTTGGTTGGCTGGCTGGCTGGTTTGATGTCTGGCCAGGCCATAACTTATGTACATTTTGTATCGGGGTCTTCTTTTTCCATCATCCTTATGATTCCTCTACTTTGGGATTTAGGTGTCGTTGAATTACAGGTGTTTCCATACACATGATACACACACACAGGCACACATGTTGTCATTGAGATAAAACCTTAGTTTTTGAAATTTTTTGTGTGAAAAAATCAACGAATCTTTGTAATAAGAAAATTCCCATGTCAAGATGTTTTGTTAGAATCCCTGGGTTTATCATCCTAAATCACTTGATTTCATTTGACATTTATTACAAAAATGGTCTATGGCTAAATGGGATATTGTTTTCAGAGACACTTGCTTTGGAATTTTGGGGGTTATTTTGAGAAATCATGACTTTTTAAATTGTTTTCAAAAGGAATCTCTACCTGCTCAAAAAAAGAAAAGAGAAAAATACACTCTTGTGTGTGTGGACATATTAGGGGATAGATTTTTTTCTTTTGTATTTCCACACACAAAAGTTATGAGTCTTTATAATTTCTTTTTATAATTTTTTAAGAAAAAAAAAATGTGTAGGAAAAAATATAAATTCATAACAACATTATTGATGCCATTTTAAATTATTTTTTGTGGAGGTCTTTTTAACTACCGCTCGATTAAAAAATATATTAAAATTAAATACTAAATTTTTTTCTTTTGTATTTCCACAAAAAAGTTATGACCCTAATATTTTGTAAAGAAAAATTATTTAGAGAAATAACACAAATTTATAAAAAAAAAGTCTTCATGTCATTTTGAATTATTCTTTGTGGAGGTCTTTTAAATTATCGCTCGAATAAAATATATGAAAACTAAAATTCTTTACAAAAAAAAAGAAAATAAAATAAAAAAATAAATAAATAAATAAATAAAAAATAAAATAAATAAATACAAAATAATAAAAAATAAAATTAAAAAAAAAAAATAAAATAAGAAATAGAGACTCGTTAAGAATATTTTGAATGAGTAAAGGATTTTGCGGGACCTAGTTACGTTAAAGTGAATAATAAATTATTATAATTAATTTCTAGATTTATTATACTTTCATTTTCAAAGATTTGCTGATTTCAATTCCCCACCAAGAATTCTGTTTAGAGTTCTAAGCTGTTTTTATAAATATTATGAAAGTGATCTATTTTAATTTATTAGCTTATCCTTAATAGAAATCTTGTTAATTATTTGTTCAATTCTCTTTCATTATAAATGACATAAATAAAAAATATATAATCATTTTCTAATTACCTGTGACTCATAACAAATCTATTTCCCCCCCTAACCCGAGGTGTTTCCACTCGCATGAAAACAAACTTGATTTGAAAAAGTGTAAAATTCTTACCCATATACAATATAGTATTTAGATTATGCCCCAAGACATTTATGAATAATTTACTGTCAAACATAAGACATCTAATTGGTTATTAATGAATAAATAATAAAATGTTGAATTTTGTAAACTCTGGGATAGTAACGAGCGTATATTTAGAAGTTTTCCAAGAATTTCTGCAATGACAAGTTGATCAATCAATCTTATGGACTTAATTTACATAGACATCGTCATGGGTTTTGTACACAAAAATATGGGGAGCAGGAGGGGAATGAATGAAGTTTTAGTATCAGAAATAAGTAAATGTATCAAAAGCTGTTTTCATAAAAAATGTATAGAAATATAAAAAAAAAATACAAGTTTGTTTTGATCAGTTCTTAAAGGTTCAAAAGGATCACAATGCCTCACAAAGTTATTACAAGCCAATTTCACCACAAAATACTTGGAAATACCCTTATATAGAGTTATAAAGAGACAAATTCACTATAAAATGCTCTAAAAGCTCCAGTAACACAGCCCTGCTCAACAGTGAGAGCTAGCTCACCATTTTAATTATAGTTTTCTCCTTAGCAATCTGTTTTCTACGGTAGAAATACAAAGTTCTCTATTGAGCTTTGATGGGCAAGTGGATGATGTCTCTTATTCTCCGTCATGAGTAACACATCAGTAAAAAGACCTGTGCGAATAATTTTCAAAATTGTTGCTATAAAATAATTTTGGAGAAAATTGAGATTGTTTTGTTCTTGATTTAAATAAGCAAAGAGAAATTTGACTGAAAAGAGGTATTTTTTCTTGAGCACCGCTGTATTGAGTATTTGGTACATATCTCCGAGATAATTGGAACTTTAAGAGAGACATCATCAATTTTGAAGATGAGATGTCGGAAATGCACAAAAGTTTTGTGTTTTGTGTTGAGTTTTGTCAAAACTCAACAGAATTAAGAAAAAAGGGAGTCCACAGAGAATGCTCTTAAACATTCACAAGTAAACAACTCTCTTTTAAGAAGAAATTGAATTAAAAGTTTATAACTGGGCTGTTTAAGAGTAACGTTTCCAAGTATTTAAGAGAAACATTAACGTTGAAGGAAACTGACAGAAAGGCTTGGATTTCTTCAGTATCAGTGGCGCAATTAGGTCTGTATAAGGAAAGGGAAAGGGGGCGGAAAAGGGGATGGTGAATGGTTATGTTGCTATGGTTACGGTTACATGGAGAAAAAAAAAACATGTTGCGATTCAGATTCTTAATAACCCAGTTTGAACAGGTGTTTTTTTTTTCCTCCAATCATTTCCCTACTTAATCCAGTGATATTGAGCTATAATCTCTTAAAATCCTAATTTTAAAATCACATATAGAGAGGGAATTGAACAGAGAATCTCAGGAGCAATTTCGCAATTTTAAAACGAGAGGAACACAAATGAAGCCTTCTTGAATGTTGACAAGAATACAATGTAGGATATAGAGGCCTTATGAAGTATTAAATAGAGATTCGGAATAATAGCCCGATATTTCTACATATTTCATCAGAAGGTTTGGATACAGAGAGTACTCTGGGGCAATTCTTCATCAAAATGGCGAAAAAAGTCTATGGGGCCAAATTTTACTGCAGAATGATTGAGGCCAGTAGTAGTTCTGTCAAACTATAAAAAAGGACTCGTTAAAAAAAAAAAAAAAAAAAAAAAAATATATATATATATATATATATATATATATATATATATATATATATATATATATATATATATATATATATATATATATATATATATATATATATTAAATTATTAAATTTTATTAAATACTGCAGAGACCAATCAAATAAAGATCGAGAATGCGATATTCCATTCCAAATCAGTCAAACTCAGGGTCTCAAGAAAATTGATAATACGATTAAAAATCCTTCGGAAGTCGATAAACCAAAAGTGGTTTCTCCTCTTACTTAAAATATGTAGATTTGTTATAAAAATTAAAATAAAGATTTTACTTACCTTAACACCTTTCTGACTGCTAAAATCTGTACTTAAACATTGCACGGCTATATTAATCTGAAAAAAAATTAAAAAAAAATATATATATCAGTAAATTAGAAAATAGCATAGCAAAAGAAAATAACAATATTTTCACAAAAATCATAAGGAAATCATAAATAGAAATTATACGAAGTGAATAAGAGTGCAATAAAAAAACGCAGAATCACAAAAATATGGCAAATCAAAGCATCGGCAATTGTCAAGTTGCAGTTATGTATTTGGCAGCAACATTTGTCATTGGCTATTAATTGCCAAGCATAAACTGCTTAGAAAGATGCAGAAACAATGACGACGACGAAAGAAAAACGCTTAAATAAAAAACTACATGTGCTTTAAAGTTTAGCTACTTGACCGTTATGGCGATGATGACCGCTGCACAGCAAGCTACACAGTCAAACATTAGTAGCATAAATGTATGTTGTTGTTGTTGTTGGTTGTTTGTGCTAAGCAAACATTACAATAAATCTTTGGCAGAAAATCACACACCACTCCAATGGAGTAGGCAGCAGCACCACCAGCAGCAGTCGAAGAAGTCGAATCAGAAGATGGCCAACGGTCAACGGGCCAAACATTTAATTTTTATTTAATATCATTGCAACGCACATCACACAGACTTAAGTATGCGAGCAACTTCAATTATACAAGTTGTTAAGTGCTTGTTTGCTTTGGCTGTCGCTGGCTGGCCGGTGATGATGCTGCCAAGGAGGCCGCTAATGTTAAAGCAATTGCTGCTGATGACGATGCTGTTGTTGTTATTTTGATTTGTTTTTTTTTTTTTTTTGTTTATTTGATTATATTGTGCGTATATTGTGTGAGCTTGAGTTGTAGACTTTTTGTAATTGTTTTGTCTGTGTTTTTGTTTTTTTTTTTTTTTTTTAATTTTTTGACTTTTTTGGTTTCAATGGAAATGTGTTTAAAACAATTTCGAGAATGCCATTGCAAAATAAAATGAGACAAACATACGCACACATATACATATGTATGACGAACATGTATGCACACACAGTTACGCACAATTCATTTACAAAAAGGGGCAATCTAAAGGAAAATCCATAATCATCATCATCAACGGATGCTGTTACAGCTGCTGCTGGTGTTTGGTAAAAAAACACAAAACAAAACGCATAATCATTGTGCTAACATTTGAGCCTATGCTGCCAACAGCCAACCAGCCAGCACACAATTTGGTTTGGAGAGCGTCAACCATTTTTAATGGCAAAGTGCAATAATGCACAACATCCATCCTTCTAGCCATCCAACCAACCATCCATCCAGCCAGCCAGCCAACGAACCAACCAAAACAGCCACTAGCGTTTAATGGGAATTAATTAGCGAACACAGGCTTTACCAAATAAAGCTTAGGGCAGAGCCACCATTCACTCACTCATTCGATCGCTCGTTCAGGCTGGCTGGCTGGCTGGCTGGCTGTACGTCATTCGCTGCCGTTTGCCTGGGCTGCTTTACATGGCCATCAACAGTAGGCCCACAACAAAAGAAGCCTCATCTCAGCATGGCACAGACACTTAGACATGATGTTTCAAAGACAATAACGAAACTTCAAATACCCTGCAGAACCAAGATGATGGTGATGCTGCTGATGCTGGACACCTTACAGCCGCTGCACAAAACAATATTATGATGATTTTTGCCATCTTTGTTTTTTTTTTCATATTTGCTGAGATTTGCAGCCGTCATTTTGTTTTTGAATCACAAAGGCCTTTTTCTACCGAGGAGGGAGGTAGAGCTTCCAAGATTATGCTGGCTGACTGAATAGCTGGAAAATGTGACATTATCGTTAAAACTTAGCTGGCACATGTAGCGGACATCAACTGGCTGGCAAGGTGGATTTTTATTTAACCGACAATTTGTAAATGAATTTCACAGACATTTAAGCATGTGCGCACACACACACACTCAGTCGCCGTTTGGCATCATAACATTAACTCAAACATTTTAAACAACACCATAAATGTATTTGGCAATTTTAAACATTTTTTCCACAAAACGCTACAACAATGTCTAAGGCATTAGCAATGGGGAAAAAAACTTATTATTTGTTACTTTGACTAAGCAAAAAGGAAATTAATTAAGTGGAGGTTGAATTGTGGCTTGGCCGCACGCAGTATGCAACAACAACAACAACGGGGACTGTGACAACGCACAGTTATATAGCCATAATAAGGATACACAGTCCAAACCAAGTCCATGAAGCCAAACTATTATGGTCTTCTAACAAATGACAATGGAAGAAGCTATGTAAAAATACTTGGCTGCAGAAGAAAAAAAAAATGAAAGAAAGAAAGACAGTACGTGCCACACCTGCCTGCCTGCCCAGCTTCCAAGTTATGCTTTATTTGATTTTGTAAGCTCATCAGATTGTTTTTTTGCTCCTCCTTCTTGGCATTGCTATAAGGAAGTTTTGAAACTTTATTAAATTGCAATTTTTTCTTCAACATTTCTCTTATGGCCTTAGACAGGCTAATTGTTAACATATCTTTGGTGTAGGCATAACTAATTTGTCAAGGGAATTCTTTGTGAAATTCCATGGCAGCAAGGAGAGATGGCAGAATGTTAAGACACCAGGAATGTTAAGAAGACAGAAAGTTATTATGGTCCATACATGGTGGGGTTTAGTGTTTCGTTTCTTAAGTCTTTTGTTTTTGCAATTGCGAGAAAATATTTAAATTAGATTTTATTTAAATCTTGGAAAGAGAAACAAATTGTGTAAGGAAAAACCAAAGATTTAAGAAACAAACTTTTTGAATAATATCAAGCAAATGAGTATATCATACTTGGTATTTAAGAGAAAATACCAATGAAATATTTAGATTTATCAGAATAGGGAAACCTTCAATAAACAATGAAATTCTGGTGGAACTAATCCCAAGAATAATTAACAGTTTTTTCATGGCATACTTTTTAAAGAGAAATTTTCAAAGAATTTTCCTCATGTTTTTCCTCGTTGCTTTTATTCTCATCAAAATGATAACAGAAAATATCAAAGGTGGACAAACCCACACAGTGAATTATTGAAGATAAGCAAAGCGTATTGAGGAAATTATTGATGTGAAGAGATAAAATCAATCCCTTGAGAATAAGAGATATATAAGTCAGGGAGCATGAGCCCCATAGATGGGCAAGTATGCACGCTAACGTTGATGTCTTTTATTCTTTGTCAGGAGTGAAACATTGATTAACAGAGAAATACAAATATTTATGTTTTTTTATAAAATAATTTTTGAGCTAATTTGGATTAAATTTGTGTTTGAAAGTTACCAAATATGTAAAAATTCAACCCAGGAAACTTATTTTAAAATTCTCTTAATCATTTCTCTTTCATTATTTTGCCCATATATGATGAGAACTCATCGTTGCCTTTGAAATTCAAATCATTTTCGATGAAGATGGAGTCGTTGCATACATCCCTCTTTCTCGCTCTCTTTGGTCTTAAATCAGCGCTGCTCAAAAAAAAAATATCTCTTTCCAGTCAAATTTCTATTTGCTTATTTAAATCAATAACAAGCCGTTTTAAGTCATTATTTATACAAATATTTTTTATCCATTTGCTTCATAAATTATTTTGGCTAACATTCATATTTAAAAACAATTAAATGAAATCGTAAAATATAAAGAAAAAAAAAAAAAAACAAAATTTATTTTCTCTTAAATTATCTCTTTTTACGGCTCATGTTCTAGAAAACGGTTTTGAGCAGGGCTGTTAAATACTCGATATTCGAGTTGAAAGAAAGTTTGTTTCTTAAGTCTTTTTTTTTAGAGAGGAGATTTTCTCAATAAAATTGAAATTCTATTTTCGATGCAGATGGAGTCGTTGCATACATCCCTCTCTCGCTCTTTTTGAAGGAGAATATTTGAATTTGGTTATTTTTCTCTTAAATACCCATTGTTCGATTTGGAAAAAAGTTTGTTTCTTAAGTCTTTTGTTTTGTGTTTACTAAAGAGGCAATTTTCTCAATGAATTCTAAATTCTAATTATTTAACATGTAGATGGAGCTACCGTATCCCTATTTTGCTGGACATTAAAAGCGAAATAAAGTCTAATTTTGAATAAGGAGGCCTTCAGAGACAGTTTTTGCGACTTTTGTCTTTTTGGTGGGCATTATAAAAATATCAACAAAACTTGTTATTTCTAGCACATCTTTAGACTTTCTTTGCTTTTAGTGAATGCAGAAAGGTGTTTGATCGTTTGGGCCAAATCTTAAATTTGACTTATAGGTGGTGTTGAGTGCAGAAATTTTATTTCAATTTCGATGCGATGTTGCATTCATGGTAAAATTAGGAAGGTAAAGTCATTTCAAATAATAATATCCATCCCTGCATTTTCTGTAATTTACCTTGTCAAATTTCACAGCGCAAAAAACAGGTCCTAATATCCAATTTGCGTGTATATTTTGACACTTAAATGTTGTCAAATTAATAATTTTGAAAAAAAATGTAAACATATGGTAGAATTAATTTACCTTCCTAATTCTACAATGGTTGTATTATTCGTCTCATACAAAATGGTAAAAGAGAATATTTCAAAGTTTCGAATTTAGATTTTTCAACTTTTTGGTTGCTTTCATCTTAATTCCATTATTGGAGACCCAGCAAAAATTTGGAAGCCTTATGAGACACCTTTTTTGCAATACAAGTCTCTAGAATATTGCCTTCAAACGAAAAATCAAATTTTCTAACTGAGATGTTGTCCATTAGCTAAAAGTCGAATTTAGATTTTTCAACTTTTTGGTTGTTTTGATATTTGGAAAGAATTTAATTGAGTTAATTCCATTATTGGAGACCCAGCAAAAATTTGGATTTGTTTTTTTTTGCACTACGAGTTTCTAGAATATTGCCTTCAAACGAAAAATCAAATTTTCGAACTAAGATGTTGGACATTAGTTAAATGTCGAACTTCCATTTTTCGACTTTTTGGTTTGTTCTGATCGTTGGAAAGAACGTACTCGTTTACTGGCTTCGATTTCGTTATCTGTGATAAAAATCTGTTCTAATTTATC